AAATCAAGGCTTTAACAAATATTTTGAAAATCGTCCTAAAAAATCGACCCGGGCCCATGTCTCGGAATCGGGTAAAAGTCACAAAATATGAACTCCCAATCAACCATGAGTTCACTCGTACCAAAATTATCCAAATCCGATATCAAAATCCCAATCAAAACTCAAAAACTTAGTTGAACAACTTCTCCCATTTTTTTCCCAAATTTCTCAATCAAATTCCTTAATTAAATATTGAAATCAACTATAGATTAGTGGAATATAACCATAAATGAGTTAAGAATCGTTACTCAAAAGCTTCCTCTGAAAATCTCCCAAATCAGAGCTCTCAAAGTCCCAAAATAAAAATGAGACCCAACCCTCGAAATTCCCTCTTTTCTGCCCAGCGATCTCGCACCTACGGACCCATAGTCGCACATGCGATGCCGTACCTGCGGAAAATCCATCGCAAGTGCGGACTTGACTTACACACCTGGGTCTGCTTCTGCGATCAAATGGCCGCACCTGCGAGTGCATACCTGCGAACAAATGTCTGCTTCTGCGGACTGCCCCTCCAGCTCACTCTCCGCATCTGCGGAACTTCAAGCGCATCTGCGGGCTCGCAGATGCGGAACTTCCCACGCACCTGCGACCCCTGGCCATCTCTTCAATCCCGCTTCTGCGCTTGGCCTCTTGCACGTGCGTGTTCGCACCTACGACCATCCTACTGCAGGTGCGATTATACCACAAGCTTGAAAGCTTCAGCAATTACACAAGTCCAAATTTCGATCTGTTAAGCATTCGAAAATCACCCGAGGCCCCAGAACCTCAACCAAACATACCAACCAGTCCTATCATACCATACGAACTTAGTCGAACCCTCAAATCACATCAAACAACGCTAAAAAAATGAATCACCCTCCAATTCAAACTTAATGAACTTGAAACTTCAAATTTCTACAACAGATGCCGAAACTTATCAAATCGCGTCCGACTGACCCCAAATTTTGCACACAAGTCATATTCAATATTACGGATCTACTCCAACTTCTGAAATCGGATTTTGACCCCGATATCAAAAAGTTCACTACCGGTCAAAACCTCCAAAAAATCGACTTTCGCCATTTCAAGCCTAAATGAGTTACAGACCTCTAAAACACAATCCGGGCATGCCCCCAAGTCCAAAATTACCCAACGGAGCTAACGAAACCGACGAAATTCTATTCTGGAGTCATCTTCACATAGTTCCGACTACGGTCAAAATCCTAAGGCTTAACCTTCCGTTTTAGGGACTAAGTGTCCCAAATCACTCTGAATCATCCGGTAATTGAATTCAACCACGCACGCAAGTTAATAAACATAATACGAAGCTGCTCAGGGCCTTATGCCGCCGAACGAGACTTAAATTCTCAAAACGACCGACCGAGTCGTTACAAACATAAGCTTAAATGGACCATACCCACTTTAAATCCATTTCTCCCTTAATGTGATTTGACCCATAACCTAAATGAATTTCGATAAAATAAAATAAAAAAAGATATTGAATTCCACATTAGTTAAAAATGAGTGTCCTATACTATAAAATTTTTGTCTTTTCTATTACACAATGCTCATTTATAATTATTCTATACTAAAAAATTCTTATCTTGTTTGTATGCCATATCCGAGTCGTTTTATAACTCTACTGAAATTAAAATATTATTGTATCCATCTCACATAACATATAAATGTATCATAAGCATACAAGAATAATAAGGCTAATAAGAATTTATTTTTCACAAACTACCATTCGATTAATTTGAAAATGTTGCTTATTAAGCAACACTAGCATACAAATAACCAGCTTAGTAAGCAACACATGCAATTAAAGTGCGTAATGAAAATTGTCAATAGACATACAATTACAGACAACCTATTGCAATTATTTAGACAAAAGAAAGATTGTATCTGTACGATCAAAACCCCAAAACAAAATCACAAAACCTAAATTTATTAGGAGCGTGCATTTTTTTTTCCTATGGAAACCCATTTGGGTTATGGGTCAAATCACATTAAGGAAGAAATGGATCTAAACTGGGTGTGACCCATTTAAGCTTATGTGGTATTTATTTTTGAATTTTTTTTATTAAATTTTATGTCATGTCATATTTTTGGTAGGGTTTGAGCCAAAATAATTTTTAAGTAACAATGATATAGTTTAGTTACTTTTAAGTGACCAAAAATAATTAAGTGACTTTAGTGATATTGAAAGATAGTTGAATGACTATCACTGAAATTAACCCTATATATTTGATATTAATTGATACTTGATAGACCAATTTAGTGATGTGTTGTTGATAAGAGGGAGCGACACTACCTATTTTTCAACCACATTTTTGAGTATTTAATTTTTGGAAGATTAGAATTTGGCTACCCCAATCGTCACTGTAAGGATTTTAGTAGCCAAAGATTTGGCAAGATCTTGATTGACTCTTCCACAGTGCCTCTTTGATGATCAAGAAAAACATAGTGTTGGCACCCTTCCATATTGAACTTATAGATACGAAGTGGATGTCCACACCTTGGAAGTTTTGACTTTAATACAATATTTTGCTCTGAATTATTTTAATCTTGAAAATAAGATGATTTATCTATTACAACATGTAAATATAATTTTATCATGTAAAAAAAATTATATTATCAACTTATCTTAAAAAATGAAAATAGTATCTTCTAACAGTTTAAATTTATTGATATGACATAATTCAACCTATGTAGAGAAGTTGGAGCTTAGCTTCTTCCGCTTTTTGCGTTCACCTTAGTAGTGATTGTTAATCATTTGTATTACTATTGTAATATCATTCCCACTACTTAATCGCACTAGATATTTTATATTAAATCAAAAAAATTAATTTTAACTACTAAACGTCAAAGTGATACTAACATATTACTACTACTCAACAATTGTAAGCGATAAACTAAAAGTATGAAAAATACATATCCTGTGTTTTTAGTATGAAATTAATGTAAATATTTTTCCGTTTTGGCTGTAGCATCTAACTTTCTGAACTTTAAAAAATTACGCCACTTCTAGGATCACTTCTACTGCTCCTATTTGTTATCACTGGTGTCGGTTAAAATGGAGGCATCTTTTACCTTGACAAGAATGCTAGACAGCTAGAGTCACATGTTTTGGGCACGTTGATCGAGATTACCAAATTGATCTGACTCGAATCCACTACTAATGTGCAGACTGTACCCCATAGATGCACCATAGTGCAGACTCTATGTGATTGGCCAGCAAAGACAAACGGAAAATGTCCTTAAAATATGCGAATTTGTCCGTCGTTAATATTTTGACATAAATTATGCATTTTTTGTTTAGTGTTTGCTTAAAATATGACCTTATTTTTAACGGTCCCATACGAAGGCATATTCAGTCTTATACCCATACTTTAAGGACATATTTGGCCCATTAAAATTCTTAAAATTTTATATTATTGAATTATCTTGTTTGATATAGACTCATCTCAATCTTTAACGAAGAAATTGACTATCTCAAGTTCTTTTATCCCACTTAAAAAGCCCCTCAAGCACAAAGTGAGGTTGACTTAGATCAAGAAATTATAATTCACGTTTTAATTTTGGGGACTGAATATACTTAGTATAGATGATGGATCAGGGCAGGAAAGGAAAATGCGTTACTGAACATATCAGTTATCGCATGAACTACTTTTTTTATTTTTTATTTTTAAATAACAGTGAATTTAGGAAAAGCTACTTTTCTTTTGAGGGTGAATTCAGTGTGTTTTAAGTAAACGAGTATTAAGAACCTTTGAAATTTTCTTTTCATAAAAATATTACTCTGAATTAATAGAAATATAAATATGTGAAAATTTGAACAAGTATATAAAACTACAAGAAATACAGCTTTCTAAGTTCACTTAATATGAAACTATTACTCCCCGTTTCAATTTAGATGAAATAGTTTAACTCGGAGTTTAAAGGGGGGAAAAAAGACTTTTGAAACTTGTGGTCTTAAAAGCTTAAAGGGTAAAAGCTTTGTGAGGCCATAACATTTGTGTGGTTATAAAAGTTTCTTATTATGGATAAAATTGGCAAAATGAAAAATTTAAAATTAAATTATTTTCAAATTTAAAAATACGTCATTTATTTTGGAGCATACTAAAAAGGACAGTACCTTATCTAATTTGAAACGGATGGAGTATTTGAAAAATCCTCAACTTCTTTTACTACAAATATTTAATTATCTAAATTAATAAAGTTCGAAAAAGAAAATCTAAACTAGTCAAGTTGACCCACGTGGTCTAAGAGGTCGTTTGGTAGAGTGTATTAGAAAAAATAATGTATGCATTAGCTTTGTATATTAGTAATACCTTGTTTGATATATTTTTTCAACCTATGTATAACTAATACAAGCATTAGTTATACACCATATTTGATATTATCCTATGTATAGCTAATGCATAAAAAATTATGGCATTAGCAATACAAAGGCTATTAATGCATACATTAGCATGATTAAAGACAAAATTATCCTAAAAATCCCTTAAAGTTAAAGAATATGGAGGTCATATTTGTAAATAATTAATTTTCTAAAAAATTATACAATACATTTTAATTTATAATACACCACACTAAACAATGAATAAGAAATAATCTCTGTATAATTAATGTTTGCATTACTAAAATTGCTTTACTAAGCCTTGTTAATAAACCTTATTTATCATTATACTTACCCGCCCCACCAAACGACCTCTAAATTTTTTTTAACTTTGAGAGAGTAGTAGACAAATGAACAAGCGCCATCTACTTTCCGACACTTTGTCGGGAAAGCATAAGTCAACGGTAAAAAATCTTCCACGTTTCATTATTCTATTGGCTAAAGTCACATAAAAAAAATACAGCTCTCTCATTGGTCCACGTTCTGCACTTCTACAGCAACACGTAATTGGAAATAAATAAAAAATAGAGAGGAGAACAATTTAAAATTTTAAAAAATAAAATCATAAGAGCTGCGCTTTAAAAACACACCAAAGGGGGAAAGAAGACACTTGTCGACTCCAGCAAGCCCTTAATCAGCGAAGAAGAAGGAAACGACACGCTTCAGCTCTCTTCTGCTCCCTCCCTTCTCTGCTCCAAAAGGGTATATTTGTCTTTCTACATCATACTTTGTTTTGTCTGTATTCTAAGAACAACGCAAGAAATTATCAATCAATTTTCTCGATATTTCTTTTTTGATTGACCATTTGTCTACCAAATTAATAAAGTTGAAATTTTTGTAACTTGGAATGAGCTTGAACAAGATTAATAATATGTTGTTTCTTTTATTTATGAACTACTATTATATTTTTAGTATAGATGATACTGGGTGGTTGTGTTTTAGGTTAAAGTTGATACTTGAATGAATTTTGATCTGAGGTTTTGGGGATTGTTAAATCTTGGATCTATGTTGTATACCAAGAATGTTCTGGACTAAGTTAAGTCAAACTGATCTAGGCTACTACCTCTATTAGTATGTTCTATACTGAAATGAGCTATACTAATATGTTTGACCCAAAAAAAAAAAAAGAGCTATACTAATATCGGTTTTTAGGTAAAACCAGATTGATCATGAATTTTTCAGTTAATCAAAGTTACACTAAAGTAAGATTGTAAAGATTGCATCTTTCTCTAGCGGGACATCTTCTATCTGATTATGAAGAACATGTCTTAGTATTTTTGGTTAATCTTTAAAGTATCTGTCTCTCTAGACAAGAGTGGGTTGTTCTAGTGGTGAGCACACTACTTCGAGTCACCCCAAGAGCAAGGTGGGGAGTTCTTGGAGGGAGCCCAAGATCTATCGAAAACAGCCTCTCTACCCCAAGGTAGAAGTACAGTACCTTCACAGACCTTACTAGTGGGATTATAGTGGGTTGTTGTTGTTGTTGTTGTATCTGTCTCTCCACCTTCTCAAAGGTAGGGGTAAGGTCTGCATACACACTACCCTCCCCAAACTTCACTTGTGAGATTTAACGGGGTTTGTTGTTGTTGTTGTTGTTGTATTATCTTAAAGTATCTATGTTTAGACATTCTTTAGGTGAGGAGGCGGTACTGGAATTAATACTTGCTCTTTTGGACTAAAACGAGCTTAAATGGAGCAATAATACTAATGATTCATGTAACTGACCCTAACTTGCTTGAGATTAAGGCGTAATTATTGTCGTTATTGTTGTCTTTTGAGGGAATGAAAGAGGCCTTTAAACTTATCATGTAATTCTTACTACTAAACTTTTTGATCAGATATCCGAATACCCTTTGTGTTTTGGTACCATGGGATCTTACTTGAACTTCAAGAACTTTGCTGACACACCACAGCCGGAAAGCTACGGTGGGAAGTCAATGTGTAATGGTAATTTCCCTTTGGCTAGGCAATCTTCCATATATTCCTTGACATTTGATGAGCTTCAAACTACATTTAGTGGACTTGGAAAAGATTTTGGATCAATGAATATGGAGGACCTCTTGAAAAACATTTGGACAGCTGAAGAGTCTCAAGCTACGGCATCTACTACTGGTAGTGTAGATGGGAGTGTAGCTGCAGGAAATTTGCAGAGACAAGGTTCTTTGACATTACCTCGAACACTTAGTCAGAAAACAGTTGATGAAGTATGGAGAGTCTTTCAGAAAGAAACTGTTAGTGCCAAAGAGGGAAGTGACACTGGGAATTCAAACTTTGGGCAGAGGCAATCTACCTTGGGAGAAATGACGTTGGAGGAGTTTTTGGTTAGAGTTGGAGTGGTTAGAGAAGATATGCAATGTACAAACTCAAATGGAATTACATTTGACAACGGTTCAAGTCAACACAGTAACAACAATGGTTTGAACATAGCATTTCAGCAACCAACTCAAAACAATGGACTGTTGATCAATCAAATTGCAGCTAATAACATGTTGAATGTGGTTGGTGCCACACCTTCACAGCAACAACCTCAGCACCAACAGCCTCTTTTTCCCAAGCAAACAACGGTGGCATTTGCATCGCCTATGCAATTATCGAACAATGGACACCTGGCTCCTGCTGTTGGAATGTCCGGTCCTTCCGTAAATACTAATATGGCTCAAGGCGGAGTTAGGGGGGTGACCGTATTTCATAATGGAGTTTCACCAGCAAAAGGAGGATCGCCTGGAAATGACTTTGTTGCAAGGAGCAATACAGATACATCATCTCTTTCACCTTCCCCTTATGCATTTAATGAAGGTGTAAGAGGTAGGAGATCAGGCAGTTCTTTGGAAAAAGTTGTAGAGAGAAGGCGTAGGAGGATGATTAAGAACAGAGAGTCCGCAGCTAGATCAAGGGCTCGGAAGCAGGTGAACTCTTATGTTCAGCATTTATCTGATCAGTTACTAAATAAATTTCTTGTGCTTCTGATTCTTGAGGCTCATTATGCTCAAGAACATTATGCAATGAAACCGACTTGTGCAGCTGTAAATAACAGAACTGAAACTTTTGGCAGCAATAACATCTTTAGACCTTCTGATGACAATCTTCTTTAATTTCTTTATACCTAACAAAGTCTGATATTTTTCAAACATTGTTATATCTGCTTACAACAGCTTCCTTATGTTTTTTCTACTTGTAGAAAAAAAAAAGCTTGCTTATGTTTTATCAAGCTGATAATCTTAATAACCAACCCTGGGGAAAGATAGGCAGAGGCACTCATGGATTAATAAATTACCCGATCAAGCAAATAATACATAAAGTGTGGCTGGCTTTTATGAAGAGCATGTGCACTCAGTTGCAGCTTTAGATTTTTTTGGATCTTTATTACAGGTGTGGGGAATTTAGGAGTAGTTTGCTATAACACGTTTATAAACTTTAGTAACCTGTGATTAACAACTAGAATTTGTTACTGTAAATGTTTATATTGTGAATGGATAACTTAATCGCACTTTTATTTGGGATTTGACAGGCCTATACTTTAGAGTTGGAAGCTGAAGTGGCAAAGCTAAAAGAAATTAATGAAGAGTTGCAGAAGAAACAGGTATGTTTCAAATGGTCAGGAATCACAGAATTATTGCAATGTCACTGATAAGTGTTCTAATTGTAACTTTCACTTTTGAATTTTTTCGTGCAGGCTGAAATTATGGAGAAGCAGAAAAATCAGGTACGAAATTCTTGTAGTAATAGCAGAACTTTCTGTTGGTCAATGACTATTCTAATACTAGTTGGTAAAAGGGTGAGTTAAAACAATATAAGTTAGCCACATTGTAAGCAAATGAATAAGTTTTGTATTAGTACAAGCTACATTTAAGTCATTAACTGCCTGAGTGGATGGAGACATGGAGTAATTGCGCATTCTTGTGAAAACTGTATTACCTGTGAATATTTATAAATCTGCAAGTTTATTCGGCTTCTACTAAGTGAGATTAGAACATGTTATTAGTTAAACTAAGTTCCCTAGATTTGGCTGTTAACCATTCGTTTCTGTGCAATTGCAGCTACTGGAAAAAAGGAATATGCCATGCGGATATAAATTAAGATGCTTGAGAAGGACACTGACAGGACCTTGGTAGAAGAATGAGAAGTTAAAAGCAAAAATTCTTAGAGTTCAAGCTTAGGAACTAGTTAAATAGGTGGATGGAGTTGTGAGTTATGATCTGATTCAGATCTATCTTCTTCACGTGTTTGGTAACTTTATGTATGGGGAGTGAGATCGTGCCCGTGTATGTACATTATGTAAACAATCTGCTTGTATGAAGTTTCTTCTTTTGTGTACTTTTTATTTCTCTCACACATTAGTTATACAGGCAAGTAGGATGCATCAGTTCAATAGCTAGGTGATAGATTTATCACAAAAACCAGGTAAGAGATAAACATATTTAGACATAGGTTTTTCTGTAAAATTAACAAGCAATTTATGAACAGATTATTTCTGCTTTCTTACTCTTTCAAGTCTTGCACATCCAGAACTGGTAAAGGGATACAACCGAGGCGCAAAGTTCTGGTGTTGCCCTCATGTAAACTTATGTGTGTGACAAAACCAAAAGAATAGCCTATATATATTCAATCAACTCTTGTCTTGTTCCCAAAACGCTCATTAGCAAAAATGAACGGTACTCTTGCAGTCTCCTGGATTCTGAGAATACACACAGAATATAATTCCAAATCCATAATAGAATCTATTGTCCGGTATAAACCAAGATCAGGTACAACATATGAACAGCACTCTTTCTTTCTCTATTTATGCTCTAAATGCCAATAAACATGATTCTGGAGGCCAATCCTATGTGAAGAAAAGAAACTTGTGAGATGAGACTAAGATAAGCCGAGGGCAATTTGTCACTGTTGTCATTGCTTTGATCTTCACTCTTTCCAATGCATGCCTGGCAGAATGATAGTAGATGCCCTAATCCAAGGTAAGATCTGGTGGACCTCTGTACTGTAAGTTTAGGACTATATCTTCTTAAGAAAGGGAAAAGGATAAAAGTGCATGTATAAACCATCTTGCTCTGAGATATACACCCAGTTTGTCATGATTGCAGATAAGCGCTGACTTGGCTACTGCATTGCAATAAATCGATTACCTTTGACAGACTTGGGAAAACCTCACCCTTAGGCTTGTAATGTCTGCTACCAAGTCATCAGGGACCAAAACTTGTGTTTTCTAGTAATGGCCAGTGAAGTATGTAGTCCGTCAATTTAAGCTGCCCCTTTAACATACTTGGGCACTCTGAAGTTTGCAGGACTGATATTTCTAGCTCCTAGGGTACTGATAGACAAGGCCTTCCGCTACACTCCTTGCCCTTGCATGCCCGAAAAGCTTGCTCACAATAGCCAATGCAAACTGTGTTGCTGTAGCAAGTCCCTGGCTTGTGATGAGTTTACCATCAATAACTACTTGAGTATCATTCACCCCATCTTTGAGCTTGTTTATGACGGTAGGATGTGCAGTGGCTTTCTTGTCCTGCTTAAGGAAGGAAGTTTAAATTAAACTTCTTCTCCCAAAATAAGACATTTGAATGGCTAACAGCATACCTTTATTAACCCCTGTCTCTGCAAGACTGCAGGTGAAGAGCAGATTGCACCAAATATTCTTCCGGCTGATTCTTGTTCCTTAAGCAACTTCTTCAGAACTTTTGACTTGTGCAACCGTTCAGCCCCAGTAGTTCCTCCCTAAAGAATTAGAACCAACTAATTACAAAAGCAAGTGATAGGACCTACAAAAATCATTCTCATTTACGAGTTGCTAATAGGTACATTTTCATCAGTATAGAGGCTTTCCTTTGTGCGCCTAAAACTTTCGGAGAACTGGTGGAAATGCTGGTTAAAGTTAAATGAGAAGATTTAGCCTCACCGGGAGGATAATCAAGTCATATATGGAGTCAGCAGTAGCATCAATCAACTTGTCTGCAACAATTTTTGTTCCACTTGATGCCAAGACCTGTGCTGATTTTTCCACTGAAGCCACCACAACATTCACCTTTGCTCGTCTTAGAATGTCTATCAATGTCACAACTTCAATTTCTTCAGACCCGTTAGCTACTGGAATGAGAACCTACAACATTGTGACGACAGAGAATTTCGACATGTTTCAGGAAAGAAATTCTTATTAAACAGAAAAGTGAAAAACCTGCTAGATGTAAAAATCAAGAAAAGGCAAAGCCTTTATTGTTTTTTACGCAACAGCATTATTAATCCTAGGAACACAAGTGAAAATTTCTCAACTAGTCAGACAGGCATCTGCCTGTAATTGTTCCTAAATAATGGAGTTACTTTTATATATATCTCAAGCACAAATTCCATGTGAAAGAGTATATTTCCTACGGTTGAGAACATTTTCAACAAACCCTTTTGCAAAGTCAAAAGAAAAAAAAATTGTGAGAAAGAGAAGTAAGCTGTGAAGAATAGTGTAACTCAAATGGCATTTTAAATCTTTAACCTTAATAGTGATATAGCTCAGTTAACTATTCAAGCACAAAGCTCCACCTCAAATTCAAGGCAGATACGATGAATGGATAAGCACCGAATAAGGAAAATGCTCATTCATAGATAAGACCCTTAAACAGTGCCCTTGACATTATTCCACAAGATAAAGAACTCATAGGAAGGTGATTACATTGTTATTGAATTTAACTCAGTAATTGCAGTTCAAAATCGAGCTATACAAAGCAAAGCTTACTTGCGGGATGTGATCTAGAGACCATCCAACTTCATTAAATTCTTGTCTCTTTGGGTCGTCGTCTGCGGGATTCATTAACTGCACAAATGTACGGAAGTTCTATGAGCACAATCTAAGGATAACAAGCAAACTAATCAGATAAACAATGCAAGTCAGATACAAACAAATCAAAGGAAAATAAAAATGAAGTGTTCACTAAAGGTGTTTCATAACTGCAAGATGTGCATGCATAATCCATCTGTAGTTTAGCTGTAGCGTGTTGACTTGAACTTGTAAACTGAGTCAGAAGGAACAACTTTCTCTTAACACCCTTTTCATATTTGATCCTGGAAATAGAAATAAACTCCATTTTCCACCTCTCAAGTCAATGCTGGAAGCAATGGGGATACATAAGTTGCATCTCTTAGTTAAACATGTCCTCGGAACCTAACTAGCAATATTCATCATAGAATATATGTTTTCAGTATTTCAACCCAATACGAACTGGATAGAAAGAGGAATATTACTAAATAACAACCCATGAATGATCCACTTTTACCAGTCAGCTCAGCGTTGAGTTTAAATGCCAAATTTGTGTGGAGAGGAAGTGTAGAGCTAGAAGTTAAGTAGAGACTTTAAGAATATTAGTAATGTCATCCACTCACCAATAGTTCTCCAATTTCTTTGGCAACAGACTCACCAAACAGCTGATCCACTAAACATACGGCAAACTCAAATGAAGTACCAGGCCCGCGGCTTGTTGTTAGCTCCCCAGAGACTTGAGTGCTAGTTTTCACCGCCCGGAAGGATGGAATCTTGTCCATAAATGCAGGATGACAAGTGGACTTGAAGGAAACTGCATGTCAGTTAGACGAACTAGGAACATAGACACTGCGCGAAAGCAAACTCAATAAACATAATCAATGGCGCACCTGTTTCCTCTTGAGAAGACCCCAAGGCAAAAGAGTGACAGCTGGAGCAGCACAAATGGCACCATAAAGTCGCTTCTCCTCAGCTTGCCTGCTTGTGATCTTCTTGAGAACTTCACAGTCTCTTAAACGAGCAGAACCTGGCATTCCTCCCTAGATTAAGTCTATACATCAGTTACCAAAGTTACTCCTATGACATTGATATATATATTAGATAAAACCATTATGAAGGGAGCAGAAAGAATACCTATAAGCCTACTATCAAATCCAGAAGTTAAATTAGAGCGAAAATACTATGAGTCTATGTTCAAGCAAGAAAAATCTGTACAAGGACATAAGTGTTGCAACCAAAAATATGTGAAGCCTATTAATCATTGAAGCAAAAGGACACCTTGTATCCCTGTAACTTCTTTCACGGTTGAAACAATTCCAATCTCATAAGACAATTGTAACAATGCAAGACTTAACTAACTCAAGTTTCAATTTAACAGTACAGTTTACGCCAGCAAAAAATGTTTGTGAGACATTTGTACTTCAAAGAATCTGTCTTTCCCATAAATCTTCACAACTTGTAACAAACAAATATCTTTTACGGATATTTCATTAAAAATAATCAATGAAAGCCACAGTACTAAGGAAAGCTCATACTAACCGGCAATGCAACAAGATCATATATTTGGGTGGAACAAGCAGAGATGAAAGTATCGGCAACTAGCCTAGTGCCTCCTGATGCTTCAACTTCCAACTGCTGCTCTACTGACGCAATTGTTACCTCTGCACCAGCCCGGCGCAGAACATCAGCCAATATTACAGCTTCCATTTCTTCAGTGCCAAATCCAATTGGCACAAGAACCTATATGCACCAAATGAACAATAATGAGATACGAAGTAATTGAATAAACAAATATTGAGAGCAGAAAAGAATTAGACACCTTTTTGGGAGGGGTGGAAGTGGAAGTAGATGTGGGCGTAGTTATGGGGTCCACGGTAACTGTTGTAGACAGTGCTTTAGCTGATTTTAAAGATGGTGACTTTCGCTGTGGAGAGGCTGCAAATTTGACAGATGAAAATCTTTGGGAAATAGGGGTGAAGATGAGAATTGGAGACTTGGGAGTGGAAACTGAGAACATGGGCGATATGGATTTCATTATCAATGTAACAATTGTGTGTTGGTTGCCGGAGATTGTGTTCCAGCCGCCGGCGGGAATGCGAACAACGACGGAAATACGAGAATTTGGTGAGGTTACGCGGGGTGGGGTGGGGGGACTGAAGAAAACGGATAATGTCACGAATTACTATTAATTAAAACTGTTTAGATATTTTCAGTTCCCTTTTCTCTTTTTGGAGATGAATAAAAAAAACAAATTTAAAGAACTTTTTCA